AAACAAATAATAAGATTAATCTAATAAACATGACCGAGAAAGTCGGGATTGCGACCCCACAGTATTGATGACTTGCTAACGATATATTGACAACGCCACGGGTGCCACAAGTGGGGCATAGCACAGTTACAAATGTACCATTTCGAAACAATTGATTTCGTCTCCATATGTACTCATAACATTAAGTCTATGATATCTGAGCTATCATACAATAGGTAATGGACAATGAATGAATGAGAATCTAAAGCGATAAAACACACACTGGGATACCTACCAAAAGTATCCGTGTTTCATTGCTGTCATTAGTGACCTGTATTTTGTCGTATTAGCTGCAATCGGAATCATTAAAGACAAATAACTATAGTACATAATTTTGAATATTGTCATATGAAACATGCTAATAATAAGATGATCACAATTGTCTCCTTTTCCCCCATCTCAGTGTTGTTAGGTTTTTTATCTAGGAATAATTCATATCAGCTTCTTCTGCTTATAGATCATGGCATAGCTGATTCGCAACAACAGAGCTTGTTATATGTATCAGCTGTTAGATGTATCATACAAATCAGGAAATCTAACAGTATTGCAGTTCAGTAGGATAAGGGCGATAACCCTTCGATTGTTTACTGGAATTGGAATTCTGTTCGAAAAACAGTTTGTTTTAATCTCATTTGCACAACGAAAACATTGAAATGATATATACACTATTTATGATTTTCAGGTTGATATAACCTACAAATACAAATTACGTTTCATTGGCAATGTACCTTTGTCATAAACAGTCATTACATATTCTAGCTACAAGTTATTAATAATTTGCGTTGAAAGGTATTTGTCCATAAATTTTCTTTCTATTAATCTTCTTCCCTAAATGTTGTATTGTAAAACTATATTGATATATATTTTGTGTTTATCAGTTATTATGCTTGATAGCTCACTTTATTGTTACCAATTAACGAAAATGTTGATATTTGTTTTGAAAATATAAAAATGCAATTTTTTCAAGGTCTTTTGTAATAATTGCACAGTTGAACCAGTCTTTAAAACAAATCATTTTAACGTAGAATTTTCTTGACCTACTTATTTTTTCGATGTGTTTGTTCTGTATTTTTTATTTGTTGACATCATTGACAGGTAGAATGATTATATGATATTGATTCATACTATGCCCAAGGTGCGAACATTTTTCACAATTAAAGAAGAAAGATAACCCTTGCTGACTTCAGAAGTTCCAGTAAGGTATCAAATATGGTCATGCCTTGATTTTTTCACAGAAATACTCGAATCTATTTGCATGCTTTAACAAAAAAGGAATGTAACACATAAATCCGAGAGTGTTACACGTTTGGTTATATAAGCCGCAAGTAATTATTCACTAGTTTTACCCTTTGCACTAATGATGTGTCCTAATTTGATTAAATAGCCAAAAGATGCAGTTAATATTTTCTTTTACTTATTTCAGACATTGAATTACCAAGTTTGAAATAGGTGCTGCCTTCCTTCAAATTTTCAGTAATTAATGTTGTACGGTAGAAATACGAGCGACCCTCAAATGTCAAGGATATTATGCACCAGATTTATAGGTGATCATTATGTCACTTCCCGCAATGCAAATGATACCCTTCATGTACATGTTTGCCACATTTTATTATAAGTTGTTTCATGAAATAAATTTTATTCAATGATCAAAATTACCCACACAACTCGGGTCTCTTTCCTAATAATGAAAATGGATATCTCCTGTAATTGATGTACAAACTAATTGTTTCGTGAAAATGTGTCTTTCGGGTTTTTTTCTGGAAAAATATCAAGGTTACTTTTCTGTATGTTATAACATTTTAAGATCTCATAGTGTCGTTAACAATACTAGATTCTGATATATTATTGTGGGAAATCAGGACATAATGACGACTCCAATAAGTTTTAAATGCAGACAGAAGTAGAAAACCCTGGTTAAATAGTGCAATAATACGCAAGATACATCCTTATAGTCTCGACAATAATGTGACATATTAATTAAATATGTGGAAATGAAAGTTTACCATCGGGTCAGTCGCCAATTTTAGTGAAGTCACCATGATTGATGTAATGCTCGTAACATCATTAATATGTAAAATGTGAAAATGAAAGATCGGAAACCTCCCTTAACAGAACTAGAAGCATTAGAACTGAAAGTCTCTATTCCAATATAGATTCGGGTTAAATATGTTTCCTCTAAATATAACAAAAATGTTGAAAACCAAAAGTATTGCCATATGGACACTACTATCAGCAGTGTACTTTTTCTTGTTAGCAGTATAATATTTAAGAAAACGTTCTTCGTTCTATTAAAAACAAAATATTTGTCTCTTCGTTTTGGAACTGAGACGTGGCATAAAGGAATGGTGGCATATTATGTGAATAAATCAAATATCCAAATAGAAGGCGTTATTTCAGACAGATGATTGAATTACTCGTGAGGACCTTTTTTCTCATTTTCTCAAACTTAATTTAGTAATCTTTTTCAAGTCTTTTTGAATGTGAATTCTATGTTGATTGCTTTATTTATTTATTTAATTTTATTTAATTTATTCTTGTTATGTGTCATCAATTTGAATGATATTCTTATATTGTTTTTGAGCTCATATGTTCTCCCTATGCATCGACGATACGTTTATTTGATTTTGTTTCTTTCCACTCCCTTAAGTGAACATGTTGAAAATTCTCAATATTGTTTTATAAGATGAGCTGCATGAAATACTCACCTAAACATCTCTGTCTTCTTTGTCCTAATTGTCGGCTTTACTATCGTTTTGTTGCAACTGTGATATTGTGTACCTCTTTTATTTATTTGTTTACCGTTGTGCTAATACTCTTTTTGTGCTAAGATGTAAATTAATCAATATAAGAACGTTTAGCGCACATTTAACTCAATAGTTAATGAGTCAATAATAATGATATACGCGTTGATACACTAGTGTCGTGTGTTTTGCAACATAAATTGTATAGCTTGTGAGCTGAACAGATGTCATGTGAACCAGGTCGATTGAATGTAAACAGAAATGGATTTAGGTATTTCTGGTGTTGTATCAGGTGTATAGAACATAACTTAATTCGCAGTATGATGTCTCTGTTTGTTTAATTCCATTTAATTGACATAGATATATTGAATCAAGTCCATATTTCATAGTGTTTCATTGATTTCATATGAATGAATGTATACAATTTGCAGTCTGGAAATGGAAGTGTAGTGATTCCTACATTTGTTTTGAGAGTTTATATACACTGTTCATATGCCGTCATTCTTGACGACTTGGATATCCATATATATTCTCCATATATCTACCGATTTTATGAAACAAAATGTCATGAATAAAAAATAAAAAAAATATTAAGTGAATTTAGTTCATGTAGAATGTAGAACCAACTCAATTGAAGAAACAAATCGTGCACTGGAAAGATCTGTATCAAAACAAACGTTTCCATCTATAAGACTTTTTAAACACTACTGTTTCCCCAAACCATCAATTCGTAACACATCACGAAATATTTAAATAACCGTATTGTCTAAATTCTTTTATATCGCGTTTTCATTTTCTGCAATGTTTTTTTCCCCCTTTTAGATGCGCTACAGGAACTGTCTTCATATTAATGGCTAGACAAATTACAATCAAATTAGACTCGAAACTGAGTAGATAGTATGGGAAACTATCAGTACTACAAATTTAAGGACTTGTTTTGTTAAAACAAAAATGTGTTGTGTGGAGAGACCATAAATATGTATTACATTGTACATCAACACAAGGACCACAAGATAGAGGGCAAAGTGTGATAACTAATATAAGTGTGGTCAATATGTTCTGATCTTGTTAATGTTATATAAATATATGTATGAATGTTTTATTATCCTCAGCAAAGAAAATAATGTATAAAATAAAAGTAAATTGTTCCCAACATAGTTTAAATACATAATGAATGCAGCAAAACTGAACTTTAACACTAAATTAATTAATCTGTAATTAAAACATAGCATGCTTTCCTCATACATGTACTCTTGGTGGGATTTAAGTTCAGATTTATTGGTCAAGATAATCGACATTACGGGACATTAAGTGGTGTATCTGGTACGTGGGAACACTTGTGCATGAATGCCCGGGGAATGTATAGCACTGAGTATATTCAAAACGAAAACTATTGCTAAATAAGACATTTATGAACAATGAAAGTCCTTCATTATTGTTCGAGGGGTCAACGCATGGTCTCTCAACTCTGGCTGTATTTAATTCTATATATCTCTTTTGCCGAGCAGATATAACGTCAAGACTTATATAAATCTGTAAATCTCACAAGTTCTTGATTCATTGTTTCCACTCTAAAACAGAGGCGATAATACAATGTTTTGAAATTTATTATTATTGTGGAACTGTATATGGTTGATAGGATGAGTGTCATTAACATTTTAACATAATAAAAAGTTACTTTGAATATAGAAAGCTTTACGTGAATGTTTTTCTTGGTTGTATCGAGTCAGTGAAGACATTCTGATGCTCTCGCAAACAAAATGATAGACATAATTATTATGTGTTAAAGAATATATGTCCACGAAATCTACCAACTCATTACGGGTTTTCTGTAGAATTGTGTTTTAGTAAATATTTACAATAAAAGCGTTCAATAAACCTGAAGCAATCAAACACCGCGAAATATTCAAAAGTCTTGATAATTATCTATAATCATTTGACAGCTTACCACATTAGAAAACCTATATAAATGATCTAACAACATTGAGTCAACTTTCGAAATTTGTCCTGGTCGATGCAAACCTTTGTCAATTCAAACGGTTTTTTTGCATCACTACCTTATAGCTTAAGACTGCATTAAATGTTCCCATTTAATCCCCATAACTTCAAATCCAGCTTGCGTCGGCCTCTAAATGTTGATAATAGTCAAGTATAATATTATGCTGATAATGTCTCTGAAGATGAATAAAATAGGAAATTCCACAAATATCATAACAAATACAACGATTTTATTAACTTCATCATCAACTTCAATACTTTTGTACTCAAATTAACGAAAGGACGAATTGGTATGCATTTCTCCATGTCTGGGTGTAGTTTGGCAAATTATTTTACCACAAGGAAAGATTGTATTTTATCTACTTGCATTGTTGGACGAATTTGATCACGTTTTTGGGGCAGGCTGTTCAATGTTCGACTTCCGTGTCCTCGTCACTATCGGAATCCTCTTCACTACACTCACCAAGAGTATCCTCCATTGTTACAGACATTGGCTCGCCATCTGAATCTACTTTATAAATGTTATTAGTGGGTTCCGCTATTGTTGTAATATCTGCATTGGTGTATTCAGTTTCACATATAACACCGTCAAACTCCCCGACGTTTCGAAAGTTGGTTTCTGTGTGAAAATTGCATTTGGTATCCATGACAACATTGTACTGATGATCCTCCATATCAATGCTGATACCGCTTTCGTCTGCCGTGTAAGTACCCTCGTCGACATCTGCATCGAATGATCTATTTGAACATTCAAAGGCATCTGTGTCTTCCTGCACGTGAAAAGAAAGTCACATGAGTTCGTCCTCTGACAAATACTGGTGCGCACAGACGGACAAACAAAATGGAGATGAGAGACGACAGGGTGCGGATCCAGAACGAGGAAAGCATACAAGATACGAAAGGCAGAGACAAGCAGAGTCACAACAGGAACAGGTTCTTCTACCGAACATTCTACTCATCTAGCGGGAGTATTCTCTATACACTTCTACGTCATCAGTCGGGTGTATGCTTTCAGATACGTCATTGAGTTGATTACGTCAGTGACGTCATATAAAAATTATTTATATTTACGTCACTGGTTATTTACAACATATAACCTAGAAACATAGAAACACAAGAATCTGCTTGTTCTTAGATATACATCGGTGATGTATTAATATTTATAAAAAGTCAAAGGTCACCACACGATCAAATACAAATCATTAACACAACAAATATGAGACTAATACACAGGTTACTTTGATTTCGTTATCGTAAACCTTTCGTAAAATGTCATGGAAGAGTCGATATCGTCGTTGGCTGATTATGTGAGTATTCATGGGAGGCTAAATAGAAGTACTATCCTTTTGATCGAGGAGAGGTTTTGTCACCACAACGATGTCCTTTTGGCCAAGTACCTTAACGTAGAACATGCCCTCGCGCTGTTTCGACATCTCCTCCTTGGCAATTTTTGCAATACGACAACTGAGTACGGTGGAAATGAGACAAACAAGGCACTCCGTGCCTGCTGCCCCCAGGGCTACCAGAATGAGCATGTCCTTGACCGCCTTCTGTATCGTCTCTCCGTCCGTTGTGTGGTTCACCAGCCCAAGCCTCAGAAGCTGGATACTGACGACAGCCGTTACCATGGACACAACATTAAATGCCGTAAAACACATTATCTGAAATTAGACATTTAATGTCGTTTTATAATGAAAAGAAATGTGTACTCATCTGACTTGAAGTTATTGTGAATAGATTGGATTGATCACAATATCTGTTATGACCTACGGGAGATTGCGTGTTCAGGCGTGTCTGGTTTCATATAAAAATGGAAAAATTGATTTTGAAGCTTTGAAAACATCATCAAACAGTCCCATAGGAACTAGCTGATGCGTCTTAGAGACAGATGATTAGGCCATGTACGCTGTAACCAGAAGTTCTTAGATCGATAGACAAAGGACAGAGGTGCGGCGCGCTAAAGATTTCTGTTTCTAAAACCTAATCTTGGCAGTCAATATGTTGTGTTTGCGTCCAATTAGGCCTAACATAGCTAGTCTGAGCCTGGCTGGTCTTAGACAGGTTGTATGTCGAGTAAGCCTATACTAGAGAGGATAGATAAATCACTGTAGATCATAGTACACCAATGTTCCTGTTTTCCCATTACCGTTTCATTTCCTTGTTTTTTATAATCAATTATTTAATGCACTATAGCGGTAGGTAGTTAAAGTATTATATACAAAGATACAGACTGTACTTTACTGTATATGGATCACCATCCGTTCACCACCTCAGAATAATTGTATGGATAATAAAAAAAGATATGATTGATTTTACAAGAATATGTATTTATTCGAAAAAAGTCTTAACGGTCTAACAACATAACAGGGTCATATAGGGTCACATTATAGAAAACGGACAAATGAATATATAATATATGAATTAGTTGTCTATGCTATCAATGACATATATTTGATGACATTACAACTAATGCTTACCACATAGGATGATTTTCTCTTGGCACACAACACGCCAACAATCCCCGTTATGATAAACTGTAAAGATAAATACGTCAGCTTTATAATTCTCTAGCTGCGTGTAGCATATTTGCAATTCGTTTTTTGGATTCAAATCAAACCTACCAACTCGAAACATTTTATTATGAAAACCAAAATATTGAACTTATCGAATCGGGTCTTTCTCTATTTCATAAGGTAATATAACACGCGATATATATCGGTCCATGCTCTCCATTACTTACTGACTAAATTATAGCATCAAACGGGTCGCCTAGGCCTTATTTCATGCTATGTATATACTTACTAAATGATAGCATCAAACGGGTCGCCTAGGCCCTATTTCATGCTATGTACATACTAACTAGATGATAAAATCACACGGGTCGCCTAGGCTCTATTTCATACTATGTATATACTAACTAGATGATAGCATAGGACAGGCAGCCTGGGGGCTGTCTAATACTATGTATATACTAACTAAATGATAGAATCACACGGGACGCCTTGGCCCTGTTTAATGCTATGTATATTCTAACTAAATTATAGAATCACACGGGTGGCCTTGGTCCTGTTCAATGCTATGTATATTCTAACTACATGATAGCATAGCACGGGCCGCCTAGACCCTATTTAATGCTTTGTATATACTAACTAAATGATAGAATCACACGGGTCGCCTTGGCCCTAATAAATGATATGTATTTACTAATTCAATGATAGCATCACACGGGTCGCCTAGGCCATGTTTAATGATATGTATACACAAACATAATGATAGCATCACACGGGTCGACTAGGCCCATTTCATGCTATGTAAATACTTACACAATGATAGCATCACACGCGTCGACTAGGCCCTATTTCTTGCTATGTTTATAATAACTTCAGGCTAAAGTATGAGAGAACAAGGCACCTAATCAACAAAATGTTTGAGTAATCGGGAACCTTATTATTGACGTTGACTTCCAACTTTGATTTAAATTCTGTATCGATTTTCAATTTAAAAATAAAAGTAAAGGTTACCATACAAACAGGAACGCAAAAAAGGGCTGTCCAACGATTTGCTTAAAACGGAAAATAAAATGTTTCATTGACCTAATGAAAACAACCAAGCGATATGGAGCTTCCTTTAGTTTTGACCATAAATATAAAGCTTAAAATGCATTTTCTTAACGTTTATGATTATGTCAAAGTTGCATACACACATGTTCCGATCCTTTATTACTTTAAAAAAGCCGAGAGATTAATACGTTTAAAAGTGAAAGTTACCTATCTTCTTAATTCTATTTCTTGACTTTGAGTTTGGATTTAGTGTTATATGTTGACGAAATGATGCTCTTTTAATTCCAGATTTCGTCTTCATTTGAACTACGTTGTTGCGTTGTGTCACGCCCCTACAGAAACGAAACAGCTGAGAAAGATACTTACGTGTTACATTAACTTATATTTGATCAAAAATTAATAAAAAGAAAAGGTTATATGACGTGTACTATATTTCGGTCCATGCTCTCCATTACTTACTAGATTATTGATAGCATCACATGAGTCGCCTAGGCCCTACTTCATGCTATGTACATTATAACTTACGGACTAAAGATTTCGAGATCAAGGCATCTAATCAACAATGATGACGCAAATCTAAGCATTATTGGAAAACCTAGCAATGGCCTCAGTAAATTGGAAATTCGAATAAATAGAAGAATGGCCTTACGAACGTCAATTTGTGTCTCCTTTTTATCACGTCTGTATAATGGATGAGGCCGCGTTGTCAATTTATCAATTGGTACCTTGTAATTAAATACCAGGTTACCAGTGTGTATTCAACAGGTTATAAAGGTTCTATATTTTGGTAAACGACCAACACGTTCGTTGTCTTATATTTTATCAAATAACGACCTCATAGTTCATGCTTAATTACCGAAAGTCAGTAATATTTTTATTATTTTCATTTTAAATTAATAGACGGAAACAAACTTTATTACAGAATGTCTATAATTACATATTTATTAGTAATTTAGTCACTGAATCTTACATTAATTCAATAATTTAAAAAAACTTTGATAACAGAACAAGATGCATTACATTACGTAAATTAAGAATCATACTTACGAATCCCCCACTCCATATAGGTGAGACACGATGCGCTAGCCATACTTCTGACTTAATAGATGATACAACACCCAGAACAACACTCAACAGACCAAGTAGAACATGGAAACTGGATGTGACGTAAACGAGAATTATGACCGGATGCATGGTGGTAGATATATGATGCAGTTCACTTTCTTCGGATGAATCCTTATATCATCTGGAAAATAAAACTGCATATAGGCAATATCATTCCCATTTAGATGAAAGAAAGTTAAAGCATTTATTAAGCATTAGACCGGAGTAACCTTGAGCTAACTATTGTGAACGATCTATTATAAATATTGATATAACTCCAATATTCAGTATGTGTAAACGGAGAAGATTTTAAATAATAACCATAAAAACAATACTTCAAAGAAGAATGTGTAAATTCCCTTACAAATGTTGAGTGTACAAGTTGAATCGAATAGCTGTTATTAGGTAGCTCATTTGTCAAAACTAGGAATCAGAAATCTTTAACACTTCTATGAAATCTAATTCAGTCGAATGGCAAATGTGTTGCAATATGAACTAAACAAGACAGACGCTAGAGTTACAATTTGAAACTAAAAGAAGACCTAATACATAATGATTAAAAGGGATAAATTGATCTTTATTTTCGCCAGTTAATTGTCGAAAGAAAACGCATCAAATACCATGTGATGTTTAAAATTCTATAAAGAACAAGACATCAACAAGGAAAGAAAAACACCAACATACAAATAAAAAAGAAATGGAGGCCAACGTGCCATGTATGGCGGTCGTCACAATATTCCAGGGGCACTTAAGGACCACGTACGCGTTCTCATTATGGAAAACAACAAAAGCCTAACGTGGTCAACATATCAATGCTAAATTGAGACTTAGACGTGATTCTGAAGCAGTAGTAAAACTATTTCCGTCCAATCCACTCATCTTAATGCCATTGACGTCAGGACTTTATATCATTTGCAGGGCATTCACTCTTATCTGAAAAAGACTTCAGGTGCGCTCAGCATCTGAAGCAGGTCGACACATATTACCATCTGTCTATTCCCATCGATATATCTCCATTACAGGTAATAATAATGATATAGACCTGTGTTTTAAGATGATTTTTTTTTGTATCGGATGTCGTACTTCAGTGTGGTCATTGTAACTGATAATGGTATGTGATAAAAGTAATCTGAGCAATAATTACAAGGGTTAGCTTTTTTAAATATTGACCCATTTTCACAAAAATATGAATCACTTTATTCATATAACTCTAAATAAAATATGTTCTCTTGTTCATTTAGGTACCCCTGGTAGACTGTTCAAAACCTAGCCATTGTAAACCACAGCTGGGTCTAAGTGTAATTTATGTCTTCCTATGAGGCCCTGTAACTGAGGACACCGAGAAGATCAAACACTCTTCTACTACATATATTGTCTCTGTCTTGTCTTTTTCCTTTTGTCTACGTTTCTTTGAGGTGTTTTCTCATTAGGCGTCTCTGACTTTTATTATGTCAGAAAAACGTGAGCAAGACGGATGTCATGCAACAGGTTATCACATTGAGGAGCGGTGCCTCTTTAAAAACGGTCCAAAAAAAAGTTTCCCCATCATCAGAGAACACTGTCTTATGACATTGATTATTGCAAAACGATATTAAAACCAAACAATAAACAAGGGGTTTATTAAAAGTTGAGTTTCACAATATGGGGTTTTTTCTGTGTACATTTGTTTATACAGCGGTTTCCGGTCTGAAGCTTTTATTTTTTCATTTAATAATAAAGAGTACATGTTACATAAAACATTAAGGGGATATAAAAATGATAAAAAAAACTAATCCAAATTTACAATTGATGAAACTAGGTCAGTATAAACAAAGGACAGATCTGAATAGAGAATATGTGGTCGGGACTGGTAAGAATCATCTGCTGCACCGACGACACCCGCCATGTAGGTTAAATCCATCGATACCACGTCTCCAAAATGAGAACTGGGGCAGTGATTACAAACATAATAAAAACCAACCTCCATGTCACAAAAGGAAATATAATCTTTCCAAATGAGATTATGATGATGGACCATACATCTTTCCTTTAGCCTTCATCAGCCTGTGTCTTTCGAAACAATGTGTTTTAAATTTGTCCATCAACAGTCGACATAAAAAAAAAAAAATACAGATAATAATATAAACATCGTCAAGAAGTGAGGCGTAAAAGTATTGGAGCTCGACGTCTGTTACAAAGGCGACAATAGGAACTGGGGAGACACCAAAACAAATGGAAAAACATCATGAACTCCTTCACAATCCGGATATAAAAACAGATGAACAAGGGCCCATTTTTGCAATGCATTATAAGCTTAACGACTACTTAATGCACAGGCACAGTACATTGTTAAAACGTTGTTATTAAGTAATATCAAAGGATGTTTGTGATGGCTTAACGACGCAGAGGGGTCAGTGAGGTCCATTACATGGTAGAAATGGTAGGCCCGTTTAGAAAAGAGTTTGGTTGGGTTGAAGAAAGTAGATGTAGATCCTTTCAGGGACATGTTATGCCACACAGTGGGTTCGTTGTGCCTTTTCGTCTCCCTCCACCACTTCGAACCCCATCCCAACTCCACCCCTACTCCCCATCCCGAGCCCCACAGGGAACAGAAAAGGCGACATTAGTAAGACCCAATACAGGGGAAACGATCATATAGGATCGTGCAGACCTGTCGTCTATTACTGAAATATGAATATAGTAGTGAATACAAAAAACGATAAGTGTATTTCAAAGGTATATTAAAATCTGGAGGCTGCAAACCGACACACATAAATGGGGAAAGAATAAGTTCCCTTCGAACTTGTCAATAATCATCGGGACACACCAGACATTCCCTCAGTAGGGTTAATCTACAATAGCAGTGGACATATGCATTTAATTCAAAAGGCGTAATAAGATGGTTAAACCACTGCACGTAGAAATAGAAGTTCTTCTCTTTGCCTAAATGCGCTACATGAACATGAAAAATTCAATCACACTTGCGTAAAATATTCAAGTAGTACAAGGAACTTCTGTGATCACTGTATGTACATGTGTTGTGACAGGTAGACGTGCTGGATGAGGTTAATGAGGACATTTTACATTTGACTCACCTTCTGGCTGTGGACGTGTGAAGGAGACACTGCATCATAATAGGACAGCAATGTCGGGCAACAAAGATTCCGCCATCTTGCCTTGGCAGATATTTACATGTCTTGGAGGCTGATTGTGAGCAGTATCGGAGGTTTGTTGACGAACAGCGTATGAATACCGATCCAACAAACTCTTGTCGTCTGTGCACGTTTCACCTACCGATCGATATCGTTCTTAATCAAATGAAAGCAACTCAAAGCAACAGGACATTCAATAGCGGCGAGGTTCCAGCAACAAAACGCTCCGATCGATCCCATTGATCCAGTCACATAGGAGCATAAGTCCTTCGCCTGTCGCTATTAGGCTTCTCGCCAGGCACTTAGGTTTGTCTTTATAACAGTCTGCATGCAAATCCGGGATTTACCATTTTGACTGATTCCACAAAAAACATGTTTCTAAACATGGTGGCTTCCGATTGCTGCCTCGCTACCAAAGCTGAATATGACCTGTATACACCGCCATGATGTTGGGTCTTCTCAAACGTGAAATGCGCCGAATAAATAATTTACGAGAAGTATCGATCAAAGCTGGAGGCTGTATATCATGGCAAACAATTCATTCAAAGTAGTTTGGACGTCATATGAATAAGTTCACCAATTGGATCAATAAATTAGTTCTATTGCTTCAGAAGTTGATGTTTCAAACGAATATTCCAAATCACCTAAGGCGTTCTAGTCAATTAGTACTGCTACCACAAACGGGGATTCAACGTGCATTATATCCTCAATTGTAGAGAGTGTATCTGTGACCTTCACTAACAAATACGATGAATTCGAGAATAACATTTTTAAAGATGACAACAACTGATCTAACTTGATAAATAAGACATAAATAAATCGCACATAATAACTGCTGTATTTCAAGATCGTATTTTACTATTTGGATTCTAAGAAACATACCAAGCTTAAACTTATGAGTCTGACATTGTGCTTTCCCTTGCAAGTTTGGGGCGATAATTCCATTCCATGAATTGAAGAGGCAAGTTAAGTTTAATCCCCGCAGCATCGGGAACATTCTCCATTCTCTGCAATGAAAAGAAAACTGAAGTTGATTTACTTCTCCCATTAAAATAGTTGCGGCAGTATTTGCTAAATTGGTCATGAAAATTATGTTATTAAACCTTGCGAGTAGAATTAACAAAAGCATTCCTATTTTTTGCTGCTCAAAGACGTATCTAATGCATAAAACATGTAACATTAATGAAGCTACTAACTATAGACGAACATGTTTACGCAGTCGTGTATGCAATAATGTGAGATACATTTAACAACATTGATTCTTAAGCGAGTTTAGAAGAATGTCTACCATGAAAAGGTTCATCTAAATAATAACAACAACCTATGCAAAGCTCTGGCATTTTTCATACCAAATAAAGCTGCTGCACCCATTTCAACATTTGGGATCTTTATCTTTCTTCCTACTTCTATCTACCATTTATTTCTTGTATTTCCTAGGACCTAGCTTGGTAATACCTCTGGTTGTACTGTTGAGCGTTCGCCCAGGTGAGGAAGGCAATGGGTTCTGTCCCTCAGGCCGGGACATACCTAAGTCCTTAAAAATGGTAGTTGCTAGTTCTTGCTTAAAGTTCAGCGTTAAGGGGAATGGCAACAACTAGTTCACCCGTTGTCAGTATAATGTGACCGGGCGGAATGCTGTGCTGGGTGCATAGTATTTCAGTGAGATAGCACTATTAAGTCGACAATCACAAGGAGGCAAGTACACCAACATACCATGTCTCCGGCACAAATACACGCATACACAACACACAGGGATGCACGTCCTTAAGTGACCTTAGCTGTTAATGGGAGGTTAAACAAAATAAAACCCAAAATCATACCAGAGGATTGTTTAGGATGTTTAAAATGTATCTGATAGCGTCAACCTGCTATTCAACTTGATTGCACGTTTCACATCGAGTACGAACAGTTTGATATTCCTACCTATACATTTACATGTTTCTGTTTTTAACATTGCTACCAACTCTGTGATTCTACTCTGCGATCTGTGCATATATCCCACCCTTTGTTATTGAGATACATCTGTATAGTTACTGAAACCATACCTCGTACAGATTCGGAAAATCACTTTTATTGTACACCGATGTTTCAATATTTCATTTCTGATCCGTTCAATATCTTTTGGTTTGGTCCAATATATTCATTTTCACGTTTCTTTTTGTCGTGTAAAGAAACGAAGGTTTCCAATTAATATCTACATTTATATTCTAATTTATGTTGTATATCTACATTTCATTCTGTCATATTTTATTCTGCTATTTTCCTTTCCGTTTGCTTTTCGACCAAACAAATGTCGCCTGTGGATGTTCTTCTCCCCCGGGTTAATGAGCTTTTCCTGGCAATACGTTGGTCCGTGGTGTTATCTCGCTAATGAAGATTGCGAATGTGGCCCAATTAGAGCACTACATTAGGAGTAACAGAGGCTAATGGTGTAGATGCGTATACAAAATTTTACTCATTATACACGCCGGAAATTAATAAATATTGGTAATCTGACGGAGTCAAAGAGATACGTCCAATAGAATAACCAGGCATACTTGAATATGGCCAAGGTTAAAAGGTGAAATGGGACCGTGGTGAAAGCGGTGTCGTAGGTGTGGTATCCAAGTTGAGCTTGTTAAGGTTTTGGAGTACTTTTGGGGAGTTGTAGGTGTTGTAGTGAGAGTGTGTGACATACACATACATCTTACTAGTTAGTTAAATAGTCAATACAACGGATCTCATACAAAAACATAACTTTGGGAGAACAAAACAATAATGGGGGGGGGGGGGGGGGGGA